TTGTAGGGCTCCAGGGGAGGGCGGACAGAGAAGGGGCTGACCGGCCGCTCCCCAACCCCGTGGGCTAGCAGTGACAGGCCTTCGATCCGGTGCAGGCATTTGGCCGGGATCCTGTGGCGAGCCTCACGCACCGTTCTCAGGGTCGGGAGGGGAAGGTTGACAGTGGTGCCCTGGGTGTCGCTCGGGCAGTCCCTGGACCCACCACTCAGTCTCACAGAGGGACAAGGATTCAGCGGGGCACACACATAGGGAGGTGGTTGGTTCAGGGTCCTTGAACTGTCCGCTGGTCAGCGTTCACGCTCCCCAGGCCGCGCACCTGACGCTTCTGTGAGATGACGGGGCTGCTCGTTCTGTTTTGAGACAGGGTTTCTCGGTGTAGCCCTGGCTGTCCTGGTTGTGTAGACCAGGCTGGCCTCCGACTCAGAGCTCATCTGCCTCTGCCCCCCAAGGGCTGGGACTAAAGGCGAGCGCCATCATTGTGGCTGCTGATCTGGTTGTTGGTGTGCAAGCGGCCGCCCAGGCCCCGCTCCGCAGCGGTGGGGGAGTTCAGGAGGCTGGGTGCGTAGCTGCTGGGTGCTGCGTTCACCGCCGAGGAGCTCGGGCCTCTCACCAAGCTCGGAACCGCGGCTCATGGCGTCCTCGATGCCAGGCAAGGCCCTCCCGCATCGGCTTCGTGCTCTGCCTGGGGTCCTCCTCCACGCCCAGGCTGGGCTCCATCTCCCTAACAAAGCGCTTTCCTCGCCTCCTCGCCAGCGGCCACCTGGAAGGGCTAGTCCAAAGCTTGGGATGTGAGCTGGGGCTGTGGAGACGGCTCACTTCCCTAGTCAGCTGGCCCGCCTGGCTGCAGCTGCAGGCGGCCTCACCCTGGCCGCCCTCGTCCCCGAGAGGACCCTCTTCAGGCTGCGCTGCTAAGCAGGGGTTCCAGCCGCTCCGCAGCAGATGCGTCCCCGAATGCCCGGCTCAGCACCACCCGCTTCCCCACCTCTGCCGCCATCTTGGCGCTTTCTTCTTCTTTTAAAATTTTTTCTTACTGATTTTTACTTTATGTTCATTGACGTTTTGCCTGCATGTACGTCTGTGTGAAGGAGTTACAGTCGTGAGCTGCCATGTGGATACTGGGATTTGAACCACCGAGGTCTTCTGGAAGAGCTGCCAGGGGCCTCAACCTTTGAGCCATCTCTCCAGCCCCAGAAACCTCTTTTTATGTACTTATCGACAGTTTCTCCTCTCTCCCTTTCTTTCCTCCTTTCTTTTCCGTGATTTGGTTTTCTCTGTGCAGCCCTGGCTGTCCTGGAGCTCGCTCTGTAGACCAGGCTGGCCTTGAACTCAGAGATCACCTGCCCTGGAATCAGAGGCGAGCGCCAACACTGCCCTTTGGCAGTTTGGGGTATCTGTGTGTACGTGTGGCGGGGGAGGGGCAGGTCTGTGCACCTGTGCGACTGCGCAGCAATGGCGACAGGAGAAAAGTCAGGAGTCAGTTCTCTTCCTTGTGCTGTGCACTCCAGGGACCCGGCTCGGCCATCAGACGTGACAGCAAGCACTCTGGAGAAATGACTCAGCAGCCGAGAGCACCGGCTGCTTTTCCACAGGACCCATTCCATTCCCAGCACCCACACGGTGGCTCATGACCATCTCCAGCTCTGGAGGACCCGACGCCCTCTTCTACACTCTGCATGCACCAGGCATGAAACACATGGCACAGACATACATGCAGGCAAAACCCTCTTACACACAGAATAAAATTAAGCCGGGCATGGTGGTGCACACCTTTGATCCCGGCCCTCCAGAAGCAGAGACAGATCTCTGTGGGTCCGGGGCCAGCCTGGTTGGCACAGTGGTTCCAGGACAGCCAGGGCCACACAGATAGGGAGGTGGGGCTGGGCTGAAGTGTGACAGTTAGAGCTTCCAGTGGGGAAGGTGCCGAGGGAGCACACCTTGCTCCCAAGCCTGACAGCCCGAGTTCAAGCCCCAGGCCCTGTCCTCTGGGCCACGTGCTGCCGTGGCCTTCACAAGCAAATACATGCAATTTTTTCAAAAAAGAAAAACTTTATTAAGTAGTGGGGCCTAAAGAGAAGGCTTAGTGTTCCAGAGGGAGTCAACCCCCTGTATTTTACCTCCAGAGGATCTTCTGGACTCTTCCAGAGCCTTCACTCACATGTACACACACACACACACACACACACACAAACACACAAACATGAGACCCTATCTCAAACAACAACAGGGCTTATGAGAAGATGGGTCAGAGGTTAAGAGCACTGTCTGCTCTTCCAAAGTCCCTGGGTCCAATTCCCAGCAACCACACGGTGGCCCCCAAACATCTATAAGGGGATCTGGTGCCCTCTGCTGGCGAGCAGGTGTACATGTAGTCAGAGTACACATGCTTTTTTTTTTTTTTTTTTAATCCATAACAAGTAAATTTAAAAAAGAAAATAACCCGGTCGTGGTGGTGCACCCCTGTGATCTCAGTGCTCAGGGAGGCAGAAGCAGGCGGATCTCTGTGAGTTCAAGGCCAGCTTGGTCTACACAGAAAAACCCAGTCTTAAAAAAAAAAATTACAACGTGACAAAGGCTTGGCTGTCCTGGGTGCTTGTCAGCCCTCTCTGTTTAGCTCTGGAGAGGCCTGTTTGTTTCTGGGGAACTCTACCACAGAGCTGAACCCCCAGCCTCGATCTCTTTCTTCGTTTCTTTGTACTTTGTACTTTGTTTCCTTGTCTTGTCCTTTCAGACAGGGTTTCTCTGTGTAATGCTGGCTGTCCCGGAACTCACTCTGTAGTCCACCAGGCTGGCCTCGAACTCAAAGACCCACCTGCCTCTGCCTCCCGAGTGCTTGTGACTGAATCAAAGGCATGCACCACCATGCCTGGCTTCTTTGTACGTTTTGTGAGTGCACAGGTGTGCAGTTGTTTAGAGGTCAGAGGGCAACCTGGGGAGCTGGTTCTTCCCTTCTGCCATGTGTGTTCAGGAAATTAAACAGCTCATCTGGCCTGTGGCACCTTACCCACTGAGCCATCTTGCCAGTCCCATCCCTTTTAGAGCCTCTGCGCCTGCGTTCGTGCGTGTGTGTGTGTGTGTGTGTGTGTGTTCCCATGCACGCCGAGCTTCCAGTGCACCTGGAGGTCAGAGGGCCATCTCGTAGGTTGCTTCTTCTCACCCTGAGGCAGTGCCCGGCGGGTGGCCACCAGCTCCAGGGACCCCGGGAGGAGTGCAGCTACCACAGACACACACAACGCCACCTTAGACCTACGTCATTTCTGAGGATTCCGACTCCCTGAGCCTCTCCCCCAGCCCAGCCAAATTTAAATTCACTTGATTTTGTTATTTTATTTTAGAGGCAGGGTCTCCCTCTAAAGCCCAGACTGGACTCGTTTTCTAGCCAGCTTGTGCAAGCCTGTTGCCTCAGCGTCCCAAACGCTGGGATTAACAGGTGAGCGCCCCCACAGCCCGCAGGCTCTATTTTCATTTATGATATTGGGTGCTGAGGTGGACAAGTCCCTGGACTGTGGCGCTCCCTCAACGGCTAAGACCTGGGTGGGGGAGGGGCCGGGTGCCCATGCTGAGTCCTGACCGTGGTGGAGACTTGGCAGACTGTCATTCTCGCCTGGAAAGGGAGATGGTCAAAGGCTGAATTGCCGTCTCTAGAGGGGACACTCCAATCGAACCACTACGCAGATTGCCCCAAGGGTCCTGAAGGGTGCCAGGGGCCTCCCGAGGGCGGGGATCGTGGGGCAGGATGGAGAGGCCGATACGCGACCAGCCTGATGTGGTCGCGGGGCGAGGCAACCCAGACGCGCCGGGCCAACCAGACCCAGGGATGGGAACTCTCCGGCAGGCAGAGGCGCGCGGGCCGGCGCGGGGCGGGGCCGCCGGGGCGGGGCCAGGCCAGGCCCCGCCCCTCGCCGCCGCTGTCCGTGGTCTCCAAGTCTGCGAGGCCGCCGCGGCCGCCGAGAGCCGGGCTCCGCAGCCCGCGCGCCCCGGGGTCTATGGAGCGGCCCCTCCGCGCCAGCCGGCCGGCCCCACGCCGCGCCCCGAGCCCGCCCCTCGGCCAGGTGAGCCCGCAGGGGGCCGAGCGCGCGCGGGACTCCTGGAGGCTCGGCGGGAGGGAAGGGGGACCCCCGGGTCCTCCTGGGGTGCGGGGCCAAGGCCGGTGACCCGGAGGCCACGGCGTCTGGACGCCTGTGCCGCCGGGGTCCGGAGAGCGGTGGAGCGTGCTCGCCGGAGCCCCGGCCACACGGGCTCGGGGGACTAGACGTCAGTGCGTCTGGGGGAGCCTTGGGGGCCACCTGGATGCCGGGGACACGAGCGGCCTGGACGCCCGACCGTGGAGAGGGAAGAGCCAGCTGGACACGTCCCTGGTTCTAGGCGATCTGGATTTGGGGACAGCCGGGCCCCGAGTGTCACGTCCGTCCCGGGGTCACCGGCCAGGCTCTCACGCCCCGGTCTGCGGGGGTGGGGGGGAGTTGCAGGTTGGGGGTTGAGCAGCCGGGTCAGGAGGCGCCACCTCGAGGGGCCCGGGCGCTTCCTGGGCGGGACGTGGGGCGGGGTCCCTGGGTGCGCGCTGCCCCCGCGGCCCGGGCTGGGGAGCGGGACGCGGCTGCGGGCCCTGGGCGTTGGGGGCCCCCGGGGGGGCCGGGGCCGGGAGCGTCTGGGCCCCGGCGAGGCGCCCGCCCCGCGCGCGCAGCTTGGGCATGCCTGGCACGCAGCGCGCGGGCCGGTCCGATCCGTATGCGCGCCGCGTGCGCCCATTGGTATGCGGGAGCCGGCCCGGCGCGGGCGTGCGGCTGGCGGGCGGCGCGGGGGCGGCGGGGCACGTCCTCGCCGGGGCGCCGGGGCGGGGACGCGGCTGCCGGGAGGGAAACTGAGGCACGCGTCCGCGCCAGCTCCCGGGCGCGCCCGAGGGGCACCCGCGCGCACCTCACTTTCCCCAGACACTCTTCCCCCTAGAAGACCGAGCCCCGCCCGCTGCGCCCTCGCGTCTGAAGCCCCAGGCCCCCGCCGCGATGGCCACCCCCTACCCCAGAGGCGGTGGCCGCGGAGAAGTCAGGTGCGGGGCGGGCCGCGGAGCCGGCGCCCCCTGGGACTTCCTGCCGGGGCTCGTGGTCAAGGCCCCGCCCGGACCCTGGTGAGCCAGCCTGCCGCCCTGATCCGCCTTTCCCCCCAGGGCGGGGGGACCTTCGCCGCCCCGGGCCTCACTCCCAGCCCCGTCCCCGGCCCCCAGCCCCGACCCCCCACCCCCACCCCGCGCACACACACTCTCGGGCCGAGGGGAAGGGTCTGACCCCGAGGAGCCCGCTGGCCTGACATCCCGACTGAAGCAGGAGGCCCGACAGTTCAAAGGAGAGCCGGGCGTGGTGGCGCGCGCCTTTAGCCTCGGTACTCCCGAGGCAAGCGCGTCTCCGTAAGTTCAAGGCCAGCCTGGTCTACACAGTGAGACCCCCTGTCTCAAAAAATTAAATAAATAAATAAATAAATAAATAAATAAATAAATAAATAAATAAATAAACAAACAGGCCTGAGCGATGTAGCTCGGAGGTAGAATGCTGGAGACCTTGGGTTCAACCCCTAGCACCGCCAATACTGTAATAATAATAATTGTTGTTGTTAAATAAAGGTTCTGTCCCTGTCCCGAAAGCCAGCAGGGGTGTAGAACCGGCACTCAGGTGTGTCCCACTTCCTCCCCGGGGCCCCCACTGACACCTCCTCCATGCCGCCCGCCCAGCCTGCAGGCGCAGCGCAAAGAAAAGTCCCGCAACGCGGCGCGCTGGCGACGCGGGAAGGAAAACCTAGAGTTCTTCGAGCTGGCCAAGCTGCTCCCTCTGCCCGGCGCCATCTCCAGCCAGCTGGACAAGGCGTCCATCGTGCGCCTCAGCGTCACCTACCTCCGCCTGCGTCGCTTCGCCGCGCTGGGGGCGCCGCCCTGGGGCCTGCGGGCCGTGGGGCCGCCGGCGGGGCTCGGTGAGTGCGCATGCGCATGCTGCCAAAGCCGCCCCTGCCACCCCAGCCCTAGCCTTGGGGACCGCATGGGGCCGGCAGGACTCCTGGGCCCGCTCATGGGGAGCCAGCAAACCTTCCCTAGTTCCTAGCTGATGACTCAATGCCCTCCAGGGGGCAGAAAGTTGAGGACTTCTGTAAACTTCTGGCCTAAGGCGTCTGGTGAGACACGGTCTCACTGCGTGTAGCCCTGGCTAACCTGAGACCTGCTATGTAGACCAGGCTAGCTTCCAGCTCCCTTGGCTCCGGCTCCCGTGGGCCACCACGCTGGCCTCCTCTGGCTGGGCCTGGCCTCGAATTTGGGATTCTCCTGCCTCCGTGCTCAGTGCTGGGAGTTCAGGTGTCCGCCATGGGACCCAGCAGAGGCTATTAATTATTATTATCAGGGGAGATGAGCCATTGTGGTCACAAAAGAAGTTTTTAGCCCGCAGCAGCCGGTCCTGAGGCCTGCACCGAGCCGGTGAGGGAGAGCTAGCTCCTGACCCTGGCCTGTGGAGCTCTGGGGCTGCTGGAGCTCTGGCTGGGGGCTGAAGTGCCCAGTTGGGGTGAGGAGACATACGGCCTAGGGAGGAGGACAGAAGGTGACCAGCAAGGCCTCTGGGCGGGACTAACCGAGTGGCCACCCGGACCCCAGCCCCCAGCTCTGCAGTCCTCAGCAGGCACCTCCTCTTTCTCTGCTGCTTCAAGACGTGGTAGTGATGTCGGGCGGTGGCGCACACCTGTGATGCCAGCAGAGGCAGAGGCAGGCGAGCTCTGTGAGTGGGAGGCCAGCCTGGTCTACAGAGGCAGCTCCAGGACCGCCAGGGCTACACAGAGAAACCCTGTCTCGAAAAACCAAAAAGAGGAGAAAGGAGGAGGAAGCGGAAGGAAGGGAGGGAGGGAGGGAGGAAGGAAAGAAAGAAAGAAAGAAAGAAAGAAAGAAAGAAAGAAAGAAAGAAAGAAAGAAAGAAAGAAAGAAAGAAATGGAAGTGACCCTGATTGTTGCCTCATCAGACTGACCAGACTGATGACTGTCTGGCCCGGCACTCCCGGCAAGCCACCACCGTCACTATGCGTGACCTGTGCCACCTCGCTGCTAATTGCAAGCTTCGTGTGTGTGTGTGTGTGTGTGTGTGTGTGTGTGTGTGTGTGTGTGCAAGCATCGTGAGTGCCCAGGACTTAGCAGGGAACACTCGACCACCATCACGGCCTAGGCAGGCTGTGGTATGGATGGCTGATGCTCCCATTGCTCCTGAGGCTGAGGCAGGAGGATCACCGAGAGTACGAAGCCAGAAACAGAAAAGGTCAGTCACGGCGGCACTGGCACCCCAGTACTGGGGAAGGCAAGGCAGGCAGATCTGTGGGTCTGGGTCCAGCCCTCTGTGCAGTTCCAGACCAGCCAGGGCTGCGGAAAGAGAGCGGCAGACACAAACAACAGAAAAATGAAAATAAAAGATTCTTCCAAGACGCAGGCGCGAAAGCACGCACCTGTAACTGCAACAGGCAGGGGGTCCTCAGCTGCATAGTGAGTTCTAGGTCAGCCTGTGCTGCGTGAGAGCGTGTCTCCAGAAAGTAGTTAATAGAGAAAAAAATAAAAAGAAGTTCCTTGGAGGTGCGGGTGGGGCACATAGGGAAGAGCTATCATCTAACTGGTAAAATGGAGACCATTATGATGGCAACATGCGGGCGAAGCTCTCATCACCCCTTCGATTACTGAGGCGTTAGATTGTCATCACTCCATTTTATAAGTCCCTGCTTGTTATCACATGGCAGCGGGCGAAGCTGCTCCCTGAGGTCTTAGGTGACACGGGGCCCCACCTGAAGAACGGGGTGTCCTTAGGGTAGGGTTGGAGAGGGCTCCTTTTCCCTTCCTGCCCTAGCACCCAGGGAGGAGGTGGGGGAGAGAAAATAGCATTGATTAAGGCCCGCAATAAATCACCATTTAAATTTAAATAATCCGGCTTCCCAGGCGGTAATTAGGCGAATTGACTGGCGCTGAGAGAATGCAGCATTAGGCAGGCTGATTACTGTCATTACCCCGAACAACATGTGTGCTGGCAGGGATAAACATCTTGTCTATTGTCCTGGAGCCCCGGGGAGGGGGGCCCAGAGAGCCCTGCCGGGGCCAGCCGCAGCCCCCAGCCTCCCGTCGTGGCCCCAGCTCCTGGGCCATCTCTGGGCTTCTTCCACAATGCCCACCTGAGCATCAGAACCAACTGGTCAGGACAGGGCGGGGGGGGTGAGGCGGGAGGGGGCCACAAAATCCTGAGCAGGCCATGGTGGCTCACACCCCGCCTTTAATCCCAGCACTCAGGGAGGCAGAGGCAAGCGGATCGCTGTGAATTCGAGTCCAGCCTGGTCTACAAAGCAAGTCCAGGACAGCCAGGGCTACACAGAGAAACCCTGTCTCCAAAAAAAAAAAGGGGGGAGGGGTGCTTAGCCTGCACGTGCCCCTGTGCACAGGTGTCCACAGAGGCCAGAAGAGGGCACTGGGTTCCTGAAATCAGTCACAGCCGGTTGTGAGCTGCCCCATGGGTGCCGGGAACGGAACCCTGGTCCCCTGGAGGAGCAGCCTGTGCTCACAATCGCTGAGCGGGCTCTCAGGGCCCCAGAAGTTTTTCTGAAGTTTTTCTTTGAGGGGGGAGGGTGAGCAGAAGTCACTCTTCTCTTCGAGCCCAGGTGTCATAAACTGGCAGACAGGTGTGGCTGCGCGGGCAAAGCTTTACCTGCTGAGCTACTTCAGTGACGGGGCCAATCTTTTTTTTTTTTTTTCCTTTTTTCGAGACAAGGTCTCTGAGTGTAGCCCCAGATGGCCTGTAACTACAAAGCAGGCCTTGAACCCACAGAGATCTGCCTTCCTCTGCCACCTGAGGACCGGGATTAAATGCCAGCACATCTGTGAGCCTCGAATCCCTTTTGAACTATCACACTTGGCATCCCTGCCAGGTCCAGGCCTGTTTCGTTTGGGTTTTGTTTTAGATAACTCCCTATTCGTCTCTTCCTCTGACCTTGCTTTTTTATGTATACGGGACTTTTAGTCTGTGTGTATGTCTGTGCGCCACTTTCGTGCCTGGTGCCCAGGGAGGCCAGAAGAGGGCATTGGATACCCTAGAGTATCCTAGAGTCACAGCTGGTTTTGAGCTGCCCTATGAACTTGGGTCCTTGGAAAGAACAGCCAGTTCTGATGCCCTTAACATCAGAGCCGCTTCCCCAGCCCTCCGCACAAGGGAAGTCAGGACCCCAAGGAACCAGGCCTAAGAGTTAACAGGTGACTCTTATTACTGTACAGCAGTGACTTCCCCTGAGTGAGCTGAACCCAGTGGATGTGGGAGCCATGATGTGTGACAGAGAGAGGGGCAGGGCATATTGGATTTACACTGTGTGGTAAGGTCTCTGCCCCTGTCTCTCTCTCCTTGGTGGGAAACCGGGGCCCTGACTGATATAAGACAGCCATTAGGCTCCCTCAGGACAGCCATGGCAGCCCGGGTGATGTGCTCTGGCCAGCCCTGTTTGTGTAGGACTTGGCTACCCAGAAGTCCTGTTTCCCTGACTATAGAGCCTGACAGGCCCCACCTTGGATACTCCTTTCTCTCTCCCTAAGCCTCAATCTACAAAACCTGGACATCTATCCTGGGGTCAGAGTGTGCATAGTGGAGGGTTTTTATCAAGTCAAAACACTCTTTGCCGTTTTTATTTGTTTGTTTGTTTGTTTATTTGGGGTGGGGCTGCTTTTGGATTTCTTTTTGTTTGGTTTTGATTTGATTTCTCAAGACAGGGTTTCTCTGTTCGTACTCCTGGCTGTCTTGGAACTCAGTCTGTAGCCCAGGCTGGATATGACCTCTAACACATGAAGCTCCTGATCCTAATTCTGGAGAGACTGTCTGCTTTAACAGGTGCTGGTCCTGCCCCAGGGCCTTTGTACTTGCTGTGCCTATCTTTGAGGCTGATCTTAACCCTTCTCTTCTCACCTTAGTAAATACAGAACAGCACCTGCTGCCCGCATGACTTCCTGTCCTGGCCTGTTGACACATAAGGATCTTCTTCCTTTTAAATTAATTAATCAATCAGTTAATAGGTTAATTAATTAATTGTTTTTTTGAGACAGGGTTTTTTTCTGTGTAGCCTTGGCTGTCCTGGACTCACTCTGTAGACCAGGCTGGCCTTGAACTCACAGAGATCCACCTGCCTCTACCTCCCTGAGTGCTGGGATCAGAGGCGTGTGCCACCACACCTGGCTTTAAATTTTAATAATTTATTTATTTTTTATTTTATGTGCATTGGCGTTTTGAATGCCTGTATGTCTGTTCGAGGGTGTCAGATCTCCTGGAACTAGAGTGACAGACAGTTGTGAGCTGCCATGTGGTCCTGGGAACTGAACCTAAGTCCTCTGGAAGAGCAGCCAGTGTTCTTAACCGATGAGTCATCTCTTCATTAAAAAAAAAAAAAAAAAAAAAAAAAAAAAAAAAAAACTGAGGCAGGGTTTCTCTGTGTAGCCCTGACTGTCTTGGAGCTCCCTCTGTAGACCAGGCTGGCCTTGAACTCAGGGATCCACCTGCCTCTGCCTCCTGAGTGCTGGGACTAAAGGTGTGCACCTCCAGCAGCAGAACCAGTGCCCTAACCTTGACCCACCCATTTTCTGTTCCTTTCTCTTCCCAAGCTTCTGCTTAAATCTCTTATTTATTTGGTGTGCACACAGGCAGGGGAGGCCACACCAGCGCACAGGTGAAGGTCAGATGTGGGCTGGCAGGCACGGCTTCAGGCTGTCAGTCCTAACGACAGCCTTTTCCTGCTCCCCAGGTGTTGACTTCGGCTCTAAGTTACCTTGCCTGGCCTGGAACTAGCTGTGTGGGCCAGGTGTCCTTGAACTTGCCTGCCTCTGTCTCCACAGTGCATGCATGTGGGCTACCACACTTGGGCTTATTTTTGCTGTCTTTTAAGTTTAAAAAATGTATATGTGTCTGTTTTTGCCTACGTGTATTCATGTA